ACCTATAATAATATTATTATTTATACTAGAAAAAGGTTGTATGGGAGCTCAACAGCCATCACGCGGGGTCGCGTAAGCCGCGTTTTTACGCGAAAAGCAGTTTTCGGCTTGTTCACACGCGCCGGATGAAGCTATAAAATTTTCTCCTAGTTCTTCTTGCCTTATATTAGATGCCTGCAGCACGATTTCCGTTTTTGTGAGATCTGACTTTTTATTGGGAATTACCAAAAAATAATTATTGGTAGCTAATTACAAAAAATACAACAACGGAAATATTTTTATACAACAGTTTATGACCAAGAACTACACTTTGGTATACACAGTAGCCAATCTAGTCCTGCACAGACTTCACAAATGCGTCCGAGAATACATGGCGTCCGATTATCGGTGGCTTACTCTATATCCGTATATACTGCCAGTTTGTCGTATATAATACCTTCTTGAGCACTCTTGTGTTCCGTTTCTTTCCCGTATATGGAGTGCGATTTCCGTAAAAATACGGGAAAATCCGTATACTTGGAGGCACTGGACTTAGTCAGACCCTTCACACAATATAAGCGCACGCTCGTGAACGCTCTCGCGCATGCATTTACGCGCGTGCTCTTGACGTAGCTGACCGTCATATCGAGTCATTTTCGCCGACCTCTTATGATTTTTGAGAGTCATTCTCGCCGAGTTCTGTACGAGGATCACGTGAGATAGTCTACCGACGCTCTCAAAGTAACATGTCGAACGATGCTCAGGAGCGTCGGTATATATAGTCGAACGATGCCCAGGACGCCTTCAGATGGTTGTTGCGCCAGACCGTAGTTTTGTGTGCGTCGTTGCCGACATACGCTGACCGATTTTGGCATCAGAATGGCTATAGGACGACAAGTTCCTTTAAAAGCCTGGATAGGATCAGAGAGAAGAAGGGAGATGAAGTCTTGTCGCTATGACAATGGAATGTCGCATGAACGCAAGACGACAACATTCTAGCTACATGCTATTTCACCCTGTCACTGCCCTTCATGCATAATCTTTATCCACGTAAAATTTATTCTAAGTAGCTAACAACCTCCGAAGAGAGGGGGAAATACTGTGCAGAGTAAACAAGACAATACACTCATAGAAAAAATTATAACACAGATTATAGAGATTGTGGCATGTTTAGTTTGTTCTATGGAGTGATGCCTTGTTTCTTTCCTTGTTCCCCCTTCAGTCTGCTGTTGGCGCCTGACGGCAAACGCCACCGGCTCGATCATAATTCATATTAACGCATTATAACTAGCCAAGTCGGTATGGTTTTGTACGCAATTGATTGGCGTACTAATTAACTCGAGCATCCAAAACAAACTATAAAATAACCAATTCGGAGGGAGTCCCGCATGTTATCTGTAGTGTAGCTAGCCTGAGCTATACAGACTCCCAGCAAGCGCTAGAGAAGACGTCGATCTACCTTGAGAAAGCTTGGCTTCGTGAGGCTCGTGCGCTGGTTTGTAAGCGATGTCATCATAGTCCTCCTGAGCTACTATTCAGATTGTCCACTAAAAAGGAAGTGTAATAATACCTCATTAGCTACATGCAGCTGCAGCTACCATTTCTATAAGTAAGTTAAAGTTTCTTGAAATTTGTTGGTTGGGGTTGAAACTCCATTAATTGATATCTAGCTCAAACATTCAACAGTAAGAATTATGTAACACATTCAGCCTATATATGACTAAATCTCTCTTTAATATTCAAGGTTTGCTTCTACTGAGTAACTTTAACGAATCTCAATGAAGCCACTCATTTTGTCCGAATCCAGCATGGTGCTTCTCCCATGATCTGGAGACCTTTCCACTGATATGATGAATCTTTCTCCACTCTCTGGCCTTGTTTCAATCTTCAGGCTGACATCAAAGCAGAACTTTCTCTGACAGGAATTGTAGAGAAGTACTGAGTCTTGCATGTCTACTCTCTCAATGCCATGGCCCTCTGTGAGTGTCTGAGTCTCATCCACTTCAAATACATCTGACACAAAAACAAGACTAACAAATGTCACAGAGCATAACACTATTCATACCAGCAGCTTCAGTAGAGAGCCGGAAAATGATGTCCATGGGAAATGAGATGGGACAACTTGTCTGGCTAGGAGTCGGCCTTGAGATTAAGACACACACTTGTACGTCATCACTTCCAGAGTTGAGGTAGTAAGCTGTCCTCTCAAGACCTATAACAGCAACTGCAGACAGCCGGGGGCAGATAGCTAGTCATCCACCACACACTCATCATGTTTAAACATACTATCATCATCCATAATCTGTATGTATCCAACAGACATGTCTGGGCTCATTCTAATGACTGGATTGGGTTCTCTCAGCTCAATTTCAACTAGCAGTGACTCTGGCAGCTCCACATCCACGGAATCCACTATTGCCAGCGACACACAGGCTTCATTCTGTTCGGGATCATACCTGTCATAGACTACTCCTGTTGTGAAGTCATATGGACGTGCTGTGTATATATAGGTAATCCAGTAAAGAAAGGAGAGGGGGTGAAAGATGGAGGGAACAAACATTGAGTAAAGAAAAGCATAAAAAACACATACTTGCACTTTGAGGGATGAATGTGAATTTGATATCAAAGGGGAAAGCTATTGATTTTCTGTGTTCAATGACTGCACAAACAGTAGTTTGGCCAACATTCTCTCGCACCATCAGAAATACACTCCTGAGACCAACCACGGCACCTGAGGGAAAATAATGTAAGGATTGATGATTGTATAAAGGCTAGAGCAATAACATACTGTCGTTATCAGTGATAGTGATGAACTTTGTTCCTCCAGTCATTCTAATCCTTCTATCACTCACAGAGCCAGTGATCTCAATAGTCTCATCTTTCTCCACAATGTCATCATCGACAATTGTCACATTCACACAAGTTAAATTCTGGCAAGCAGGCACGGTGTATGCCATTGGTATATTACCATAGTCTACAGCTGCCTCTGTTGAGTTATACATAATTATCGTTTTAAAAAGTTGTTGAAAATAATTATTATGTTACCGGCAGATCCCCGAAAGGAGAGAGAAATATTGAAATCAAATGCTACTGCACAGCCAGTGTCATGAATACTAACAACAGCACAGAAGCTCACAACATGACCCTCTGTTACACTCAGTGAGCCAGTTACTAGTTCCACAGTAGCTCCTTCAGGTATATGAAGTGGAAGAAATATTAATACACACTGCATATAAACTCCATACCCAGTGTCATCATCAGTAATCTCAATGGTTGAAGTCAGTTGTCTCAGCTGAACTCTACTGTCAAGTCCACCAGTCCTGCTCAGACTTACAGTGAAAGACTCTGTGTTCTCTACAGCAGCATCGTCCACAATGTCAATGGTGATGCACATTCGGGAGGAGTATGGTTCAAATGTTAGGAGCCGAGAGGTAGGAATAAAGTCTAAAGGAGACCCTGCAACCATTAAAGTCATTAAAAGAGCCGTATTCTTTACTGCAATAGCTAGCCACCTGCCGTGCCTTGGACGGTGGATACAACCACTGTGTTGAAGAGGGTGCTTTGACCAACTATTTCGACACACAACAACACCACACTGATCACTCTCACCAACTCCATACGAAGTACTTTCCAATCCTAACGTTACACCTGGTGGGGAAAGGTGTCAAACTAACATTATTTAGACTACACATCTCTGACCATCGTCATCAATGATTCTGACAGTGCTGGGTTCAGCACTAACACTGACTCTTGAATCTGTTACGAATGTCTCAAGAGACACTAAAAACTCCTCAACCAGTAACTCCATGATAACGTCATTGATAATTCTAATGCTTCTACACACTTCCTTTGCACACGACCCGAACCTTAACAGCATCGCTCCAGACACATAGTCTGAGCCAGACCCTGCAGTAAAAGTACATTAATATACTACTATAATGGTCAGGAAAGGTTTATTACTATTACCTGCAGTACCAGAAGAGGTAACCATTCTAACACTAAAGCTGAAGTCAAGTGGGCAATTTGTTCTCAGTGGGTGTGGACTAAGTACTACGACACACACTTGAACACTTTGTTCATTTTCAGCAACTTCATAGCTCTGGTTCTGGATGCCGACCCTAGCAGCTGAAGAAGTATAGTGGTAAGTAAGAGTAAGCTTAGTAGTAAGAATAAGCTTAAGCCAAGCATGTGCATTGTTTTACTCACCATCATCATCAAGAACGGTCACCACAGCCATGTTCATGATATGATCGAGATGGATTCTACTGTTAAGATCTGGGCCTCTGGAGAGTATCACATGGAACTCTTCATTTCCTTCTGGCAGTGTATCATCGTGAGTTGTTATATTGAAACAAACGTTGGTAGTACAAGGTGCAAAACTCAGACTTTCGTTAGACACTGTTACATAGTCTTCTGGTGACACAGCTGAAAGAAGCAACAGCGATACACATTAATTTTTAGACACCCACCACCCCTAATGTATAATGTAGTATATAGGCATTTTGTGGATGAGTTCAAGGGTGTATGTGTGACAGTAAATGAATAGTGGTGGATAAAATTAGGAATTTCTGTTAGAATTGCGACCTCCATTACCTTTTTCAGTGAAAATACAGTCCCAGGACATGGTGAGTAGCTATAGTTTACTATTTCATACCACTTCCGTATTCCGTGTTCACAACAACAGAGAAGGGAAACGACACGGTGCAACTGCCTCTCGAGGTCATCAATCGAGCACACACTCTAACTTCCTGACCTTCTTCTACCGAGTAGTCAGTATGTTCTAGGCCCACGGAAGCAACTACAGAGCATATTAAACAGTATCTTTAATAAAACCCATACAAAAATCAGCACTTCCAATTATCTGAGAAACAGAAGGGCCATCTAGGCAAATGAAGAAACTTAGTTGAGTTTGCTAACAAGGACTGCACAATTTGTGAACCCTGAGAATTTGGGTGACAATTTGTGAACTATAAGTAAAAGGTGCTGATTAATTGAAGAGACTCGTGAATTTTTCACCTATTTCTTGTCTAAACAAGAGCCCCTAGGAATGGATGGAGTACATGCCAGGAAATTGCATATCTGAGACCACTTACAAGGTCTCAACTCTGATATTATAATGCAGAATATTCTGTGAAATCAAACAAAATCTGTTGTCCTCAGCCAACTTCTCTGGGAAAAGTGTATGTGAACTCACCATCATCATCTAATATTGTAACATTGGCAGACATCATGGCTAGTTCAATATCACTTTCAAAGCTGTTGTTTACTAGAGTGAGTGTAAAGGACTCATCAGTCTCAACCTGGTGGTTATTCACCGTTCCGATAAAGAAACACTTTCTTTTATCACATGTACCAAACTGAAGTGTGCTTCTTCTATCATCAAAGATATAATCACTTCCAACAGCTGAAACAAGATAAGGATTAAGCCATGAAGCTACAGAAGACCTATGTATCCTAGTGGTTGAGGATATCTTACTTGCACTTCCAGGCGTGTGTTGTAGTGTCACTGAGAAGTTGTGTGTCACAGGACAACAGGTATGTAGATTTGATATTGCTACACATACTTTGACCCTTCCTTCATCCTCATTCACCAGGTAGGTTGACTCTTCCAGTCCAACTACCACAGCTGCGGATTAAACAACAAAAAGTTGCAATGTACAGTTCAATGACTCTGTCAATCTTACTCACAATCACTTTTATTAACTTACTCTGTTTCTGTCGTGTCTGAGCGACTAAGATGTTTGCTCTAAACCCAGTATCACTGATAAGGCTATCTGTCCTGAACTCCACTAAAAGAGAGTTTGAGAGACTATCACACTGTGTAAACGCAAGTTCATCCCTCTTTCCACTAAGAGTGGCCAGTTGTGTAATGTTTGGGTCACAAGATGTCCCTTGGTACAGTTCTATTCTATCATAGAAAGGCTCAGTCGAAAAATTGGTGAATGAGATCCGGACATAGGTGTTTAGTGGGCCAGTGATCAACCACTTGCAGACAGTCTTTTTGAAGTAATTCAATGGGTAGTTTGGAGACTCAATTCTGATGACAGACTGCAATCCAATACTTAGTTTTCCACCACAGGATTCTTGCATTGGAGGGAAGCATTAGTAATCTAAGGTGCATAGGGTGAGAAAAACTACCAGGAATGAAGAGAAGCCGGTTTGGAGTGGAGGAGGTAAAGTTTGCAGGAATTGAATCAGTATCGAGGGTGTTGTTTGTTGAGAGAGAGATCAACTGGTAGAGAATCTGATCAGGTGTCAGTCTTGGCTGTCTCTGTAGCAATATTGCAACAGCTCCACTCACTAGTGGAGCAGCAAATGAAGTTCCACTCTTAAATTGATAGCAATCACTGCACATATGGTTGGCTCCCTGAACATTATGACCAGGAGCAAAGATGTCAATACAGGAACCATAGTTTGTTTTAGAGTAGAGTCTGTCACCCTCGGCACTACCAGCAACTGTTATGGCATTGGAAGCACTAGCAGGAGACCACATGCAGGCATCTGAAGCATAATTCCCAGCAGCCACCACAACTGGGACTCCAGACTTGTAGAGAGCCTGAATGGCGTCATTGACTGACTGAGTATAGCCACCAGTCATGGATATTGACACCACTGCAAGACGACCACGGGTGGGAATGACCCTCATGGCGTAGTCCAGTCCTTCCAGTATGACACTCCACGTGCCAAAGCCCTCACAGTCCAGCACACGGACACTGTACACAGTTGCTTTCTTTGCAGTACCATATGTCCTCCCTGCAGCATTGCTAGCCACGTGGGTGCCATGACCATAACAGTCACGGCCTGTCCTATTTTCTCCTAAATGCCTATCCATTGGATCATATTGAGCAAATTTTGCACGATTTTCAAACTCCTCATGTTCGTAGAAGACCCCCGAGTCCAATATGTAGATATCAACTCCTTCTCCATCACCAATTGGGTTGTAGCTTCCATCAAGTGGGAGCTCTCTCTGATCAACTCGGTCAAGATGGTAGGAGATGGGGATCTCAGCTGCTTGAGCTACCGTCTCCTCCTCAATGTAACGGATTTCTGGAGTCTCTTGAAGCTATTTGTAACAAGTGGAAAATCAAAATGAAGGTGGATGGCCTGACATCGTGAAAAATAGAACTACAAAGTTCCTACATTGAGACCAAAAGTCGTTCGTAACCCCATTCCTCATCTTCGTTTTGTTGATCATGATTGTATATGAGCACCCTAATCTTCGTTTTGTAATTATAAGCCCACCATCTTCATCTGGTTGAGTTAAGTTACTATAAGCAGTAAAGTAACCACTTTGGGATCACAAAGATTTAGGGGTGGGTTATGAATCACGTGCAGGAGTCTCCTTGTTCCACTTTTTTAACCACAGCGTGCATGAGCAGGTAAGTCTGTCTGTCTGTCCATCTGTCCGCACTTCTTAATGTTGCATCTCACGCTATAACATGCAAACACAGCGTGTGTTGTTTACGAGGAAGAAATCTTTATAAGGGCTGCTTAAAATGAAACAGTGAAAATGCGAATGTTAAACATTAAGTCGGACACGCTGCACTTTCCATCTTTACTTATGGGCTACAAACTATACAGTCATGATAATGAATAGCAACATATAGCAACCACAACCGTGCAAAAAACGATGAGCAGAAGCAGTGATAGAGTGGAACATTAACAGTCTCACGTTACCTCGATTTTTTAAAATAAAAGATGACATCACAAACGGACCTGAATCCCACAATTTGACCTGATGTTACTTATATCTGAACATAATGCTTTTTCTGCCTGTCCAGGGAGCGAGAAGCAGGGATTGCAATGGTGTTAATACCAATCAGATTGCTCTATGAAATCATAAATGCAAAAATAGTTAGACGTGATATTAATATTCTGTGGTGGCAGAGCCTACACCTAAACACCTACCCTCACCTGATGCAAGCCAGCCGCAGCACTGATAAGGGTTCTACTAAAACCAGGAACAGGGAAATTGTATATTTCAACCTTCCATTGGATGACAGCACCATTATTATTTTATCTGCTTACTTAATTAGGTGTTTGTTGCTGATTCATGTTTATTTCAAGCTAATTATGCATGCATATACACAGCAAAGACAGTTATTGCACCGTGATTGTTTAATGTTTCGTCAGTCTATTCTATATAGAGGCATAGTTGTGTCACCCTACACGGCTTGGGTTGTTAGCTTAGCTATAACAGAATTTTCACAATGCTTTTTTCATCTACAACAAGGGAACACTGTGAGTTCAAACCAATGGCTTCTTTCCACAGATGAAAAACACTATATTTTGTGGACAAAGATTAAGGATAATTATGATTAGGGATCTCTTGCCTAGTTATGGACGGCTCTGTTTATTAGTGGAGCATGCCCATCTAGCCATTTCTTCCACACAATTTTCCCCCTAATAAGAATGTAGAGGAATATAGGGACATTGTTCCAGGACACAGCACACTATACATTCAAACAAATTAATTCTTCTGCAACTGTCACGTTATACGTGATAATACATCGTGTGTTGTTTGCGAGCAAGTTAAAAGAAGTGCTGCAAAAATTAGCAGCCAAAATTCCAATGAAGTAGGACCCACTGTTATTTCTTTTGATACTACTGGCTAACGAAAGTATTTACTACAGTTATGATAGCAATCACAAACGTGCAAAAAACAATCAGCAGAAGCAGAGATACAGAATGGACCAATAAATTCAATTATCTCGACCTTTCGGTATCATAAGCGGACCTGTTGTAGTTCCAAATCCCACAAGTTGACCTGATTTTTCCTATATCTCAACATAATGCTTTTTCAGCCTGTCCAGCATTAAAAATGGGAGCAAGAAGCAGGGATTAGTATGTTTTGCAATGGTGCTAATATACATTATTATGCAATAGTATCGTTCTCCTTGGAGGAGATCACCAACTTGACCAAACGCTTACTGTGGCTAATGTGGAAGGCCTCATAATACGAAGTGCTGAAAATGCAGTTTCCATCATAAAATGCAGCCATCGAGCAAACTCTGATGACAGTGGATCTGGTTTAGCGTTTGCATCTGTGACAAATCTCAGAATTTATAACATTCATTTTGAAGGTTGTGGAACTCTTCAGCACAGCACAACACTGAGAAATAATAAGAATACAACGTTTCGTTCTGCAGTGTATCTCGTTAACTGCACTGATGTTTTCTTCAGCCAGTGCAAAGCTGTACTGGAACATTGGTAGAGCACTGTCATTGTACGATGTCACTGGTTACATGGAACTGACAAGAAGCGAGTTTATCGGAAACAGAGTTATCAATAGAGAGCGGAAAGTGTCTTTTGGTGGAGGCAGTATCTACATTGAGTTTACGTACTGCTCACCTGGATACCCAGACTGTGATAAACATAGCAATACTCACAACAGCAATAGCAGATACTTCATAAGAGATTGCCTATTTGAAAGCAATATAGCCACAAGTGGTGAGATTTCGGGGCAAGTCCCTCATTGTTCAGTTTAGAGTCAATGCCGGTAATGATGGCAATATTTTCGGCGAAGGAGGCGGCATTTATATCTCACCTAAAGGCATTAGTTCCAACAATTCTATTATAGTAGAGAACTGCACATTTCGTAACAATACTGCTGTGTATGGAGGTGCAATCGGAGTTATTTTTCAGGACCTGTCAAGTGAAACAACATTGCACATAAAGAACTGCAATTTTCACAACAATTATGCTTGGGAACGGGGAGGTGGTGCTCTGCAGCTAGGATATGGCAACACTGCAAAAGTTGCTAACAATCAGATTGTTGTTGAGGACTCAGAATTTATTGGCAACTCTGCTGGCTGGGGAGGTGTGGCTGCCTTTTTTGTAAGTCGAGTAAGGTTTGATGTAAAAAACTGCATATCGTTCTTCAACTGCACGTTTATCGGAAATTCAGCATCGATTGGGGCAGCCATGCTTCTAAAGCAAGCAGCTAGGGATTCTATATATACGATGGCTCAGTTCCAACCCCATTTCTCCAAAACAAAACAATGAAATCGTTTACACAGCAGCATTGATCAATATTGCAAACGACAATGTATCCAAACATGTACTTCAGTCTGGTATCATCGACATTGAGTCTATTACCATTGATCTGTCAGAAACGATTACCCTAATTGGCAATAGGGGAAGTGCTCTAACCGCGAAGTCGGCACAAGTCAATATTATAAGTAATACCAAGATAAAGTTTGTTAACAATACTGCCACAAAATGTATGGTGGAGCAATGACTCTACTTGGTTTCGAGCTCTACCCTGGGTCTCAGGTGCTGTTTGAATCAAATCATGCCAGTGAGCTTGGGGGAGCTGTGTATGCCACTTCACCTAATCAATCTGAGTTCGTATTCTCCCACAGGTGCTTCTTTTTCTATCTCTATGAAAACCCGAATAATTGGAACACGTCACTCACTTTCGTCAGTAATGTAGCCAAGTTTGGTTTTGATATCTACACTGACTCACTACTCCCATGTGCTAAACATGTCGGCAATATATCAACTGAGATCAAACAAGCACTAAAGTGGGAACCTTTTGAATTTACGTCGGGTATTGAGCAATACTACACAATAGCAACTATATAGCCCTGCAGGAATGACATTTACTTTACCACTTGAAATAGCACCAGGGCAGAGGGTGGATATACACCAACTGGCAGTGGATGACCTCGGACAAACAATCCCCACTGGCTACCAGGCGAGTGATGTGGGAGCAACAACTATCTCTCAGACGACGGCTTCTTGCAGATTAAGGGAGAGCCATGTACAGAGTTTAGTCTCACACTTCAAACGCAAAACACGCGGCTAGTTTCAGTGATGATGCCAGGTCGACTGGGTGTGTGTCCACTTGGTTTCTCACTGGAGAACCATGAATGTGTCTGCTCTACAAGCACACTCGACAAAAAGCTTGTTGCGGGTTGCCGAGTGTGACATGTCGAGTTTCTCGGCATTTCTCCTGCTGGGTTATTGGGGAGGGTGTGTGAATGGGGAAAATATGGCTACCAGCTACTGTTCTCCTGATTACTGTGACTATCATAATTATTCAAGTATTCAAACAATAGCACCTCCTACATCATGTGCTGAAGTGGATAGCAGACGACTGTGCTGCACAGGAAAGGACCAGTTTGTGGTGAGTGCAAGGAGGGATACCCTGTTCTTTTTCACTCAGAAAGCTTTGGTTGCGATAAATGCTCATATGGTGCCGTTGGACTACTGTTTCACATTTTGGCAGAGTTCTTTCCGTTAGTTCTAGTGTTTGCCATCATTATGATGATGAAGTTGAAACTCACATCAGGACTAATGCAGAGCATACTGCTTTTTGCTCAGACTATCACATTCATCAACCAAACCCCATCATTGATAGCTCTATCCGAAACTAGCCTGTATTTCTCAAAGATCCACTCATTTCTTCTTGGATTCCTCAGTTTACGATTCTTTTACGTTGACAAACTCTCATTCTGCCTCTGGAAGGGAGCTACTGTACTTCGAAATCTTACATTCAATTATGTTACCTCTTTGTCAGCCCTCCTGCTCCTCGGCCTGTACATACTGGTTGTCAATAAGATTTCATTTCGAACACACTGGAAAGCAGAAGCTTGCTTTGGAAAAATGACCCAGTTCAT